CCTCCCCGAGGCTCCCCAGACAAACTCGCCATTTCTCAGTACTGTCGTCCAGGGTGGGAAGAGAAAGGAATTAGTCCAGTCAAAGGTCTCCCCCAGGAAGCGTGAACTTCCTGCATGTCCAGGGTGCCCGGAGGTGAGGAGCAGGTGCCGCAGGCCCGTGGCCACAGGAGGGGCTGACAAATGACCCTAGAGGTTTACTGGGCCAAGGAATTCTAAAATGGGCATGGGGTGCCTGACACTAGCGAAAAAGGTTTTAAGTGTCTAAAAGAAAGGAAGAATAATTAAAAGTAGAATAAACAGAAAGCAAAAAATAAATGCTCATGCATTTCAAAGTGAACATATCTATCACTGGGTATGAGAAATTCCAGCGTTTGCATCGTCACCAGACACGGACTGGCCCAGAGCGGGTCTGCCTCAGGCCGGCTGGTGGTGCGTGGGTTCTTGACTTTGTGAAGGAAAGGTTTCACACGCCGAGGCCAGGTGATTTTGAGAGGATGTTTATTAAAGCTGGGGCCCGTGAAGCAAAGGAAGGACCACAGTTAGAACCAGCAGGGGAGAGCCTGGGCAGGGCTGCTGTCAGCCCACGGGGAAGGGGGCGGGGCTTGGAGACAGGTTCAGGGGGTAAGGCCCGGAGAAGCTGCTGCTGCCCCTCTGCTGCCTGGCTGCAAGGCTCCTGGGGACCCTCAGAGTTTAGGAGCAAGTAAAAAGTTCAGGCCCAGGAAGGGCATGGGCGTGCTCCAGAGGTATCCCACACTGGGCTGGGCGTTTGCCTTGGGGGTTTTATCTTTTTTCCGTAAGCAAGAACCTTAGGGGAGGGTGTCAGTAGAGTATTCACCAGCTTTCCAAGTGTGTTTCTAATAGGCTGATGCACCCAAATGAGCCTATGGAGGAGTCTGGGGTTATGCTCTGGTCAGCTTTACTGTTTGACCTTTATCTTGGGTCTGTCTGGTTCTAGCAGGTTTTTGCTACTTGTTCCCCTGACTTCATCTGTCCTTGGGTTTACCTTCCACAAATGGCGTTATCTGGGTCTCTGTCCTCTATCTCCTGGGCCAGGAAGAGTTAAGCTAAGTATCCTCTGGTCGGGGAAGAGAGACATAAACCATTCACTCTCTGTGTCCTTGGTTTGGGGACACATGGTCTTGTGAGCCACTGGCTGGGTGTACCTTGTTCAATTTGTTTGGCTTTATTTGATTATCGTGCCTCAGTTTCCCTACCCACTTGCCCAGGAATTTCCCTGCTGCTTGCTTTCCTCCCTCAGTATGATTCACATGTGATCTTTCAAATCCATCGATTGAAAAGCATGCCACACAGGGACACAACCGTTTTCTTTGCATGCATTTCAAGTAACTTGAAAAAATACGCACCCCACAGCTACAGCACACAAATGCGTTTGCACGTGGTTTGTGAGTAACGTTTCTTCTTCTTTTCCTGCTACAGCTGCTTCTCGCGCGGCCTGTTGCCCACTCACACCTGGCGCGAGGGCCCACTGGTTTCACTCTTCACATTGAACCGCGTTTCTAACTTCACAACATTTCCTCTCCTTCCCCCACCCCCACCCGGGGGATGGATTTGGGGCTTGTGTCCATTTCTGCCCGCTCTCCGGTGCCTCGACTTTTGGTTTGGAAACGCTGCTGAGCCCTGCTCCTCTGCTGCTGGCTCTCCTTTCCCTGCTCTCTGTACCCCTTCGCTGGTAAACAAGGCGCATAGGGCCTTCTCCCAGCAAGACAAAGCCTCTGGGGTCCCCCTCTCCCTCCTCGCCCACCCTTTCTGCCCACCCACCCCCGTGCGAAGCTCAAGTTCAGAACGAGTTCGCCTCTCTCTCCCTCCGCATCCGGGTTCGCTGAGGTCGGACATCTCCCCTCTCGGATACTTGGGTTCGTGACCAGGCTGGTCACGGAAAACACGTCTTGGTTGTCTCTGCCCCACGACCCTTTCCCGCTGCTGCCCGCACGACAGGTCAGGGTCTCTCGGGTGACAAAGGAGAGACTGCACCCTGTCTGCGTGTGTGACTCGGTGTTCGAACAAACCGCTTCTCGGACGGCCTTCTGGGACGGGTTAGGTCTGAGAACCGAGGTTCCACGCAGCTTAACCTCCCTGGTGCGCGTCTGGTCTGGGCGCGTGAAGGCTCGCCACTCGACATGTTTCCCCTTCTCACCCATCTCCGGGTCTGCTGCCGGCCCACCGGCTGCCGGTGTTTCCTCTCTCCCTGGTACTTTCCTCCCCTCAGGCCCCCGCCTGCTCTGCTCTCTGAACTCCTGCACATCCCAGCACCGTTCTTTTGCTCAGAAAGGCGGAGGCCATCTTGCCTGGGTGAACGATTTTTAAATATCCAAATTCAGTAACATATCTCACATGTGAAATAAAGTTGGCACCACCAAACAAAACCCAAATGAAAACTCCTGATCATCATCACAGAACCGAGTGAACACATGTGGCTTCTCCCTCGCTACGGTGGCTCTGGTGTCACCACTCACCTCAGGTCCTCCCCTTGAAGGGGGGAGTGTGTGTCGCCGCAGGAGGACCCGGCCGCCTGGCCCTGCGCTCGGAGGGGCCTCAGGAGGCCCGGGCGCGAGGTCCTCAGCCCAAGGGAAGCCTGTCAACCATGAAGCCGAAGTCCTCTGAATGAGCTTCCACACAGAATGTAATGTTCACTAAAGGGGAAATGCTAAAAAATTGCCAACTTAAAACTTACATAAATGCTACTAAATCTCAGCAGTATCCACAGTATCGCTTAAAACTCGACCAACAAAAGGTTTGGGGAAGTATGGGGCTGGCCAAAAAGTCCATGTTTTTTTTCTGTAAAATAAAAGACAGTTTTCATTTTCACCAGTAACTTCATTCACTTTGGATACTTTGAGTGCATCGCTATGTCCCGGGGGGAGAATGCTGACTGTTCTCAGTTAATGTCTCAGTGGGATCACTACCGACCTCACCCGGTCCACCCAACCACGGAGCACCGTCCCGGGAGAAGCCCCCGGCACGGAACTGCACAAACCTCTTTCCTCACGTTCCATCAGTCACAGCGCCTTCTGCAAACACTGAACAAATCTTTTTGTGTGTTTCAGTTGCGTTTTTACCTTTCTTGAAATAATAAAGCATGATATGCCAAAAATGTGGTGTATTTTCCGTCTTCAATATTAAAATGGCTACACAAAAATTCACCAACTTTGATGTTTTTTTAAATGCACGCTGATACAACAGCTGTCACCATACAATCTAACACAACTGTTTTGAGTGAAGTTACAGACAACTAAGTGCTATTAGAGCCAGCTTATGGAAAATGACCGGACAAGCTTTTTGGCCAACCCACTAGATATCCATTTTTACCTCCAACCTTCTTTAGAATTGCTGGGTTCACCAGGATAATGAAAAGCAGACTAGCCCTGGCAGGTGTAGCTCAGTTGGCAGGAGCATCCTCCCATAACTGAAAGGTTGTGGGTTTGATTCCCGGTCAGGGTACAAACCTAGGTGCCGGGTTAGATCCCCAGTTCAGGCAGGTACTGGGGCACCTAAGATCCCCGGTCCAGTCACCTACGAGAAGCAACCAGCTGATGCCTCTCTCACATCCATGTTTCTCTCTCCCTAAAAAGCAATGAAAAAATGTCTTCGGGTGAGGGTGAAAAAACCTGTAAAACACGCGAGTCAACGGCAGCACTCTGAGTGCTTTTTAAACCCTCGGCAGATGACGCCTCCCCGTTTCAGCCCTCAGAGCCCCACGGAGGCCTCAGGAGAGTGGCCCCGCAGTCCACCCTGGCTCCCGGGCCCCAAAGCTCAGCACTCCCTGGGCACAGGCCCCGCGTTCCCCGCGGAGGGCGGGCTGGACGCCCCCTCCCGCCATTTCTCTTCCGGGGCCGCCGGCGAGGGCCAGGCTGGGCAGGGCAGGCCCGTTCTTTCGGTTCACGTCACCATTCTTTCTCCTGCTGTGTGTAAGACAAACGTTAGATTCGCCTAACTTATTCTTCCCTAACAGTGAACTCCTCTGAAGCTTTGTTTCCCCCCGAACGCAGATTTAGCTATCTCCCACAGCGCTGGGTACGCAGGTGCCAACCTTTGCAGTTCTAGGTTGAAACTTCATCTTTGAATTTCTCTTTGACCCAGGGTGGTTGTGGGGTTTTTTAAGGGAATTTGCTAATCTCCAATTACTTACGTTTGCTTTTTTTTTTTTTAACATTTGCTTAGGATTGTTGATCACATCGTGTGTCCTCTACACCTCTTCATCCCACGTGTGTGTGGGGTTCTCTAGGTGCGCCCGGCCCACGCCGTGATTACTTTTTGCAAATACTCCAGGGACTTAAGTAGATGCAAAGTTCTCTCTACACATAGCAACAAACTGTGCGAGCCGTTCGCATTATTCAAGTTTTTCATTCTCTTACCTGCTCGCGGGGCTCCAAGGCTCGGAGGCCAAGGGTGGAGGCGCGGAGCCGGGGCGCAGCGGGTGTGGGGGGCGGGCCGGGGGTAGAGGGCGGAGCCGGGGCGGCCGGTCCGGTTGCCAGGAGGCGGGACGGACACAATGGGGTCTGGGAGTTGGGCCAGGAGGGGGCGGGGACGCGGGCACCCCGCTGGCCTCACGGGCAGGTTAGTGCCTTGGCTTCCAGGGGGCACCCTTCCCGGGACCAGGCTTCCAATGCCGCCCCCCACCCCCTGCAGTGCCTTCACCCGGCGCCCTCAAAATGCCCCGCGCCCCCCCGCCCCCCGGGGCCCTGGGGGAATTCCCTTCCCCTGGAGTTTAGCCCAGACGTGGCGCGGGCCCACACCCCCTTGCCGGACTCACTCGGTTTGGGGGAAGGGGATGGGAGGTGGCCCTGGAGCCCGGGCCCTGCCCCGAGCCCCCCACCCCGCGAGCTGGGAAAGCTCGCGTTTGTTTTCCCGGCTCCTGGGATACGGTGGAGCCCCGCCCCCGGAGCGGGACCGCGACGTGCGTCCCCTGCGGGTCCGGGGAGAGGGGCCGGGCCGCCACCTTCTGTCCACAGGTGCTGCAGGCCGTGAGCACCGGACGCGCCATGGGTTCAGACGTCTGGGTCGGTCCTTGGCGGCCGCACCGGCCCCGCGGCCCCATCGCGGCGCTGCACAGCGGCCCGGGGCCCAAATACAAGCTGCCCTCCAACACCGGTACCAGCGCCGCGCGGGGCTGTGCGGGTGGGGGTGGAGAGAAAGGGGCTAGTGGGGTCAGTGCCTTGAGGGGGGCCGCTGTACTCCAGGCAGGAGAGCCGGGGGTCTATTCTGGGGGGACGGGGTGGGGGGCTGTGAGGGGGCGAGAGTGGCGGGGCCCAGGGTGATGCTGAGACACCCCGCAGGCTACACCCTGCACGATCCGTCGCGGACCCGCGCCCCGGCCTTCACCTTCGGCCTGCGCCTCCCCGCGCAGCAGACCTCGTGCGGACCCGGGCCCAGCCACCTGGTGCCGCCGCGCATGACCATGCGCGGCCGCGACTGCACCCCCGCCTACTCCATCCACGGCCGCCCACGCCAGGCCGCGCCTAGCCTCACCCCCGGACCGGGTCAGGACCCCTCGGACCCCAGCCTCCCTAGAGCCAGGGCGGCTGACCTTGAAACCCCCCACCTGATCCTCAAGCTCAGCCTTGGTACCCTCACGCTCCAAATTCGGCTCCCCCACGTCGGACCTCCAAAGAATTTCAAGCCCCACCGGGTTCTGACAAATCGCGGCTTGGTTTCCTGTAATGATTAGGGCCTAACCCCAGAACCTCAGCCCGGTTCCGCCTACACCCCTGGCTCGCCCCACAGGCAGGTACTTCCCGGAGCGAGCGGGGAACGCGACGTACCCCAGCGCGCCTCGGCACACCATCGCCTCCAGAACCTGGGGCGCCCGCACGGAGCAGCACACGCCAGGTGAGACCGCGAAGGTTCCGGCCCCGACGCCCTTCCCACCCCGACCCAGAGCCCTCGCCAGGCGCTGGGACCACCCGGCACTCCCAGAGGCCGGGAGACCCTGGCCCGTCTACAAAGACACCCCACCCCCGCCGCTGGCTGCTTCCAGGTCCGGGGACCTACACAGTGCCCTCGCTCCTGGGCCCGCGCGTCATCGGTAAAGTCTCGGCCCCAACTTACTCCATCTACGGCCGCAGCGCGGTGGGCAGTGTCTTCGAGGACCTCAACAAGGTGGAGGAGGGGCTGCGGGCACGGTGCGGCGCTGGGGTCTGCCGGGCGGGCCGCAGAGAGCCAGGGAGGGGCGGCGGCCAGGGGACAGCGGAGAGTGGAGGTCGGACCCAGCGCCCCTTCCGCGCTCCCGCAGACCCCAGGTCCGTGCGCCTACCACGTGGTGAACCCTGGGGTCTACAAGTCTCGGGCCCCTCAGTTCACGATGCTGCCGCGGACTTCACTCCCCAAAGACAACAGCCTGAATCCGGGGCCCGCAGCCTACAACGTGGACCAGGTGATCTGGGGTCCAGGGACAGGGACAGGGTCGGATGCGGGGGAATGAGGGTCCAGGCCCAGGGTGGAGGGTCCGAGGCCCGAGGTTTGGGAACGGGGGTCCCGGCGCGGAGCCGCACAGGCGGGTGCGCCAGGTCAGCCAAGTTTCCCGGGTCCACAGCCGCGGAAGCCCGGCGGCTGGAGCTTCGGGATCCGGCACTCGGACTACCTGGCCCCGACCGTGGCCAACGTGCCCGACCTGGATGACTGAAGGGCCGACGGGCGCGGCGCCACAAACATCTGCTCAAAGCTTCCGGAGCCAGACTTGTGTCCGCCTCTCTGTGCCAGCGTCGGGGGCGAGCTCGGCGGCCGCGGGGCTGGGGGGCAGGCGGGGCGGGCACTGCTGGGAGTGGGCGGGGCTTAGCTGGAAGGGCCCCCGAAGTCCCAGAAGTCTCGCGGACCAGCCAGCGGCTAGGGGCAATCACCGGGGAGCCCCTCACGGGAAAGCCCAGGCGGGAAGGCCGAGGGCTGCTGCTCGGGACAGGCACGGGCCGGGGTCCACACGCAGAGACGCGCACACCGGCGACACAGACACAGGACGGGGGGGGGGACACACGAAAAAGTTGGGAACAGCGTGGGGACAAGTGCCCCAGGCCACACTGTCCGAGGCAGGGCGGCAGCAGAGTCTGGCTGCGTCTCGCACCCTGCCAGGCCTGGAGTGATGGCGACCCCGGTGACCTCAGGTCCCCCGGCACCCACCCCAGCCGGTGACCTCTCACGGGGCGGCGGGACCGGAGCCCAAGCAGCTCCCGGAGCTGACCGCCCTTAAGCGAGACGGAGGCCGCCTGAGTGAGGGGGACATAAAGGGCTTCGTGCGCGTGGTGGTGCACGGGAGCGCGCAGGGCGGGCAAACAGGGGCGTGGGGCCGGCTGGGCGCTCCTGACTCCAACCCGGAGACTTACTTCCTGCCCTGAACGCACCGTAGCAGCCCGCCACTGCCACCGTCCCCAGGACGGCCCATCACTGTGGCAACGCCCCTTGGCGCTGCTCGCCCCTCGGTCCCCCACGCCTGGGGGCCATGCTCACGGCCATCCGACTGCGAGGCGTGGGTCTGAAGGAGACTGGGGCGCTAACCCAGGCCCTGGCCAACTCTGGGCGAAGGCTGGAGTGGCCAGAGGCCTGGCGCCAGCAGCTCGTGGACAAACACTCCGCAGGGGGAGTGGGTGGCGAGGTCAGCCCGGTCCTGGTACCTGCCCTGGCTGCCTGTGGCTGCAAGAGGAGGAGGAGACGCCACTCCAGACCAGGCAATCTGACCTCAGAGAGGCCGGCAGCGCCCAACCTCTAACTTGGTGCAGGCAGAGCCCCCAAAGGCAGAGCCCAGGTTTCTTGCCCCCACCCCGGGACAGAACTTGGCTCCCCTTCCCACCAGCCCCCACAACAGGACCAAGTCATTGAGCACCCCTTCCCCTCCAGTACCCCAGAAAGGACCCCCAAGGGAAAAGCTTGATTCTCCTCCCTCAGTCCCCCCCAAACCCAAACCAGGACAATTTATTTTCCATTCCTCCCCACTAGCTGAACACCCACTGCAGCCCTTAGTAAATACTTAGCTCCTGAAGTCCTAACCAGGGAAGGTGAGGGAGTGAGTGCAGGTGCACTCAGTGCCCCTGTCCCGCAGGTACCCATGATCAGCGCACATGGTTTGGGGCACACAGGGGGCACCTTGGATACACTAGAGTCTATTCCTGGATTCACCGCCATCCAGAGCCCAGAACAGGTACCTGTGGGCCACTGATTGGTGACTGACCTGGGCTATTGATGGAAACATTAACCAGGATCACTAAAGGATCACTGATGGGTTATTAATCAGGGTAACTAAAGGATACTAACCAAAGTTATTCATGCATCATTGGGTTTTGGTGAAGGTCATCAATGAGACTTTGATTGGAGTCATTACTGGGACTTGTTTAAAGTCACTGATGGGCCTCTGATGGATCACTAATGGGCCACAGGACATTGATCAACATCCCTGATGGGTTGAGCCAGTCATTGATGAGGACTTATCAGAACTATTCATAAGATACTGGTCATGGTTTTGAACATTTGTCAAGGTTGCTGGTGAGTCCTTGACCGGGACTAGTGGGGGGTCCTCGACCAGAGGTCACGACTGTCACTGGGCATCCCGAGGGAAGGGGATCGCCGGATGCGAGATCTGCTGGAGGGAGTGGGCGGCTGCATCGTGGGTCAGAGCAGGAAGCTGGTTCCTGCGGATGGAGTCCTGTATGAAGCCAGAGACGTGACAGCAACTGTCCACAGCCCGCCCCTCGTCACCGGTGACCCGACCCCACAACTCTGGGTCCACCTTCTGCGCGTGAAAAGTCCCTGGCCTCTGACGGGACAGTAAGGGGTGTTCTCACCAGGGGACTGCGGGGCCTCCCCCAGCCCCAGGGTCAGTGTCCCCCCATCATAGGATGTCTGGCCACTAGCGCAAGAGGGAGACCTGGCTGATGCACAATGGTCCCGCCCTGGGGCCCCCATCACAAGGGACTTGACACTCAGTGTTCAGGGTCCCTGACTCCTCGAACAGGCTGCCCGGAGGTGGAACGCCTCCAGGAAGCACCAGGCTGCCCTTTGTGCCCAGCCCCCTCCCCCAGCCTCCCCCCTCAGGAAGAAGGTGGCGGAGAGCCTGTCTTCTCTGGTGGTGGATGTGAAGTTCAGAGGGGCCGCCACCTTCCCTAGCCGGACGTAGGCCTGGGAGCTGGCAAGAGGACCGGTGAGCAGCTGTGCCCACAGCCCTGTGTGGCTTCTCTGATGGAGAGCCGCCTCCTGTGGGTGTGGCTTCTCTGATGGGGAGCCGCCTCCTGGGGGCCGGGCCACCCCTTCATACTGGAGCACTGTGCTCCCTCTGTGCTTCTCAGTCCACCTCCACTCGGTGGCCCCGGGTGGTCCTGGCCTCTGCCAGACCTGGCGTCCGCGCTGCTAGTCCGTCCCTCCCCCCCTCCCCCACTCAGTGGCCTGACCCCAGCAAGGCTGACCTGGCCTCAGGTCTGGAGAGCCTGCCATGGCTCTCTGCCCCAGGCCAGGTACAAGATATTCCTGACCCCCAACGCCCAAAGCCTTCTATGAGCCCCTCACTCCTCGGGAACTGGCAAGCAAGGGTGCAGCGCCTGCTGGAGTTTGATAACATGCAGGCTACAAGAGACCCCGCGGGACACCGGTCAGGGGCCACACTGAACCGTGCCTCCGCAGGTTGCTGCACGGGCAGGCCTGGGGCTTCGAGTTGCAGCGGCTCTGACCGCTACAGACAAGCCCCTGGGCCGTAGTGTGGGCCACACCCTGGAGGTGGAGGAGGCTCTGCTTTGCTTGGATGGCGCTGGGCCACCGGACCTGCGAGACTGGTAACTAGGCTTGGTGAGAGAACGCGTAAGAGGTGTGGAGACCTGGGTTGCAAAACCACCCCCGCTGCACCTAAGCCCCGGACTCCCGCCGGCAGGGGGCGCCCTGCTCTGGCTCAGCGGACAGGCGGAGGCCCAGGAGGAGGGCGCTGGCCGGGTGGCTGCGACGCTGGATGACGTCTCAGCCCGGGACCACTTCGAGCGAATGCTTGCGATGCAGGGTGTAGACCCGGGCCTGGCCGGAGCCCTAAGTTCCGCAACCCCTGCGCAGCGCCGGCAGCTGCTACCCCGCGCCTGGAAGCAAGAGGAGCTGCTCGCGCCCGTCGACGGTGAACTCCCACGGGCGTGCAGACCCACGCCCCATCCCCTGCCCCGGTCCCTCCGTTCCTAAGTCCCCGGCCCTGCCCCTGCCCGCCCCATCCCGCCGAGCCCTCTCCCCGCAGGCACCAGGGAACTCATCCGGGCCCTGCCGCTGGCGCACGTGCTGCACGAACTCGGAGCCGGGCACAGCCGTGCCGGGGAGCCGCTTCGACTCTGGGTGGGCCAGAGGCTGCGACTTGGTGAGCGCAGATTCCGGCCCCTCCCCGCCTGCGGATCGTGCCTGTCCGCCGGCCGCCCCGCCCACTAACTGCCAGTTCCGCCTTCCGCAGGGACGCGGTGGCTCCGAGTGCACTTGGACAATCCAGCGCTCAGCGGCCCGCAGCGCCGCGCCCTGCAGGAGGTGCTCGTGCTCTCGGACCGCGAGCCCTTCGGGGACCCCTCGCCCTTCGCTGAGCTCATCTTGCCGCAGACCAACGGGCAGCAATAAAGCCCGAGAACGGCAAAGCAGTTTCCGTGCCTGGCAATCAGCTGGGCGGGAGCCGGAGGGCGGGACCCGCCTGTGAGAGGGCAGCTCAGAGCGAGGGGTGGGTCGGTTTGGGGCGGGGCTACACGAAGCCCCACCCAGGCACGTGACTGCGGCGGGCCCTTCCACCGCCCGCATGCTCTGGCCACGGCAATTAGATTGCGCGTGCGCAGCCCGCCGACGCGTGCGCACTGTCGTCGAGCGCGGCGACCCGGCAGATCCTTGGTCCGCTACCGGCCCTGAAAGAGCGGGGCCGCGCGCTCAAGGCTGCGTTCCCGGACTCGAGGGTCCCGACTCCGGACGGCCTGAGGTGCGTGCTCTGGGAAGACCCAGAGTGCAGAGGACGGAGGGGCGGGCGGGCGGGCGCCTGGGGCGTGCTCCGTGCGTGACCGCCGCTGGGCAGACACAGGCGCGTTCCGGGAGGGCGCCCGGGGAGCGTCCGCAGGTGCGTTCGCTTGCCAGGCCCATCTCGTGCCCCGCCTGGAGCCCGTCTCCTGAAGGAGGAAGCGGGCTCAGAGGAGAAGGGGCGTGCCCAAGGTCAGCCGCCCGGGGCCCGAACCGAGAACAGTGGGACGGGGGTGGAGGCCCGGCCCTTAGGGGTCCTCGAGAGGGCCCTCGGCGGCAGCCGAACGGGTGCGGGGCTACTCGGGCCTCTACCTGGACGCTCCGAGGAGTCCCTGGGAAAGGCACGGAGGTCAGCGAAGCAGCGGCGGGGCTCGGGCTGCCATCGGAAACCTGGGAGCGAAGAGGGTGGGTTGTGTGGCCAGTGGAGACCTTGTTTCCCCGCCCGCGTGAGCGCGGGAAAGGAGGGTCAGCCCGGGGGACCCCGAGGGATGGCGCGGCGTGGGCGGGGAGTTAACTGTGGGCAGACTGGGGAGGGGCCCGGAGCCCGTGGCTGAAGTGGTCTCTGAAGTGGGAGGCGGAGGAGCCCGTCTTGGAGGGTTGAAGCCAGACTCACCAGCCCGCTCTGACAGGGGGTTTATTGCAAACAGATACGCGCGCTCAGAAACCGGGGAGGCCGTGCACGTGGGATGCTCTTCGTCAGCTCAGATGCTACAATACAGGTGAGTGTCGGGGTCTGGAGCTGCAAGCGCTGACAGGGGCAGGCCACGGAGGGGCGAGATGCAAAGACTCCCCGCCCGCGGACTGGAGGGACGAGGGACGGGCGTGCACCTGTCGCCGCCCAAGCTGGAGTTTGAGGCTTCAGAGGCGAAGTGGTTTGGAGCTCAGCCGAGCACTGGGTGGCCAGTCCGGGAGGCTGTGAGCCTCGGTGTGGAGCTGTCTCAGGAGTGATGGGAGACGACCCAGAAGGCCAAGACATCTTCGGCTCTTTTCCAGGAGCATCAGGCCCATGCTGCTGCTGGCTCGGACAACCAAGGCTCGACATGGGCTCTCTCAGCTCAAGCCCCCAGCCCTCCCTAGGACCCCTGGAGGTGAGGCCTTCCACGCAAGGTGCCAGCTCTCGTCAAAGCAGGGCCCTGCAGAGGCAGGCGGGGCGGGCAAGCCCCGGGGCCCTGGGCTGCGAACCAGGCTGCTGGTCACGGCCATGCTTGGGGCTGGCCTGGGCGGGGTCTGGCTGGCCCTGAGGACTGAGAAGGAGAAGCTGCGGCAGCAACAGCGGACAGAGGCCCTGCGGCAGGCCGCCGTGGGCCAGGGCGACTTCAGCCTGCTGGACCACCAGGGCCAGGCCCGATGCAAAGCCGACTTCCGGGGCCAGTGGGTGCTGATGTACTTCGGCTTCACTCACTGTCCCGACATCTGCCCCGACGAGCTGGAGAAGCTGGTGCAGGTGGTGCGGCGGCTGGAGGCCGAGCCGGGCCTGCCCCCTGTGCAGCCCGTCTTCGTCACCGTGGACCCTGAGCGGGATGACGTTGCAGCCATGGCCCGCTACGTGCGAGACTTCCACCCGCGGCTGCTGGGCCTGACGGGCTCCGCGGAGCAGGTCGCCCAGGTCAGCCGCAGCTACCGTGTGTACTACAGTGCCGGCCCCAAGGACGAGGACCAGGACTACATTGTGGACCACTCCATCGCCATCTACCTGCTCAGCCCCGATGGCCTCTTCACAGACTACTACGGCCGGAGCAGGTCTGCCGAGCAGATCGCGGACAGCGTGCGGCGCCACATGGCTGCCTTCCGCAGCGTCCTGGGCTGAGCCGGGCCAATAAAGGGTGTGGTGGAGCAGTGTGTGCGCATGAGCTGTGCCAGCGGCCCTTGGAGGCCATGGCACAAGAGGGGCCTGGCTGCTGGCGGGGGCCCCGGAGGTGGGCAGCCGTCTCGTCTTCTCTGCACAGAGCAGGAGCCTCTTTAAGGGGTCGGTGGGATGACAACACTTTATTAGGCTGGGCCAGCCAGGAAGCACGTGTGCAGTGAGCAGGTGTTGCCCAGTGTCCGGGGGGACGGGGCTTCCAGGCCCACCCCCCCGGTCCCAGCACTCCCCACTCAGGGCTGAACCATGGAAGGGGCGGCGTAGGTCTGGAAGCGCTTGTGAGCCCGCTGGTGTGTGAGTAGCCTTAGGGACATGGTGTCCACAGCCGCCTCCAGCCCCGGCTGCTGGGTGATCTCTACTGTGTGGTCATTGGCCTGCAAGGAGAGTGCGTCAGCAGGACCCAGGGACCGCTTCCCTCCCGGCTCCCAAGGGCCACTCACCAGTTGCAGGGAGGCCAGCATGGCACGGCACACCTCGAAGGCAGGCTGGCCGGCCACCAGCTTCGCAAAGGGACACCACTGGTTGAGCTGGCTGAACCTCGAGACCACCTGGTCCCCGTAAGTGTGGATGTCAAAGGGCGCGTGCTGCTCCTTCAAGGGGAAGGCACGGTCCTGAGGCAAAACTGCGGGCAGCAGGGCGGCTCCCACCCCCCCGGCAGCAGCTGGCCCAGCCCCCCTCACCTGCTCCTGCAGCAGGGGCTGGATGCTGGTCTCCCAGTCCCTCACACGCTGGCTCAGCTCCGTCTCCTGGACGAACTTCTGAGACGTCGTGATGAAGAGTTCCTACGGAGGCCCAGGGGCTACAGCCTTTTGTCTGTGGCCGCCCCCCCCTCCCAGCTCCCCACCCGCTCCAGCCAGGGCCTACCACGTTCCTTCGGACCAGCTCCTCGTAGCTCAGGGACGCTGGCGCGGCCTCTGCTTCTGGAAAAGGGACAGTGTGAGCCACGGGCCACACCCACCTCTCCCTCCCCTGTCCTCAACGGGGTCGCTCCCGACCTACTGGCCGGCAGCCCACTCCCAGACCCACCCAGGTCTGCAGCTTCCACAGGCTGTGCCCCCTCAGGCTCATCGGTGTACTCTTCAGGCTCTAGAAAGTCGTCTGCTGGGAGACAGAGCGGCCCCAGCGGGAGGCAGGTCAACCCCGTGCGCGTCCTGAGCTGCCCTGCCCCCACCCCGCTCCCTGTGCACCCACCTGCTTCCCCCAGCTCCTCCAGGGAGTCCTCCAGGCGGTCCTCCTCTGCAGGCCACAGCCCCTCCTCGGCCCTCGGCAGCCACTGCTCGGCCACCTGTGCAGAGACCGTGAGGCCACTGCCGTCTCCCACCCCCAGGGCTGTCTGGGGCCCGCCTCGGCCAGTACTTGCCTCCCGCCTCCGCAGCTTCTGGAGCGTCTCCAGCTGCTCCTTCACGTGTCTCCAGTACAGGACCTCCATGTCTGTGTGCACAGGCCTCGTGAGGGGTTCCGTGTGTGTCCTGACAGCCCACCCAGCACCTGGGGCTTCCCGGGGCGGAGGGGAAGTGGGCACAGCACGGCATCATCAGCCCTCAGAGCCCACTCGGGGCCCCAGCCTCACCTGCAAAGGACGGGCCCTTCCTCCGGGGCCGCCGGCTGTCAGCGTGGTCGGCATCTGCGAGGGAACTGGGTCATCAGCAGCCAGGCAAAGCTCCCCCTGCCCCACCTGTGCCCTCCTGCCCCAGCCCTGCCCGCCCACTCACAGGTGGCCAGGTACCACTGGTGGAAGTCCTGCAGCTTGGTAGCACCCTTCCTCTTGCGCTTCTGCCCTGGTGCCTCCTCCACACAGGGGGGCACAGAGAAGGGCCTACCTGGAGGCAAGGAGACGGTGTCTCAACGCCCAGCTGTGGGCCCCAGGGCTGCTCACGGCCCACAGCAGGCTCCTGGTGGGCACAGGGCACACCCCGCCCACAGCATCTGCGCCCCGGCAGACCAGCCATGGACCCCAGGTGGAAGTGTCCCTCCACCCAATTACCCTTTTTTTTAAAGATTTTAATTCATTTTTAGAGTGGAAGGGAATGAGGGGGAGGGAAACATCAATGTGTGGCTGTCTCTCATGTGCCCCCTACTGGGGACCTGGCCTGAAACCCAGGCATGTGCCCTGACTGGGGATCAGACCGGCGACCCTTTGGTTCACAGGCTGGCACTGAGTCCACTGAGCCACAGCAGCCAGGGCCCAATTACCTTTCTTGAAGGGCTTACAGTCCAGAGAGTTGAAGGGGTCCAGGCTCTGCCAGGGGTCTGGCGTCTCCTAAGCAGAATGCAGGCAGGCTCAGGGAGAGCGGGGACACCCACCTGCCCCCACAGCCCCACACTGAACACAGTGACAGCCAGGGAAGGTCCGGCCACACTCAGTCCAGGACGCCAGTGTGGAGGGCCTCGTGCAGGCAGGAGAAAGGGGGGGTGGTGAGGCCCCAGGCGCACCCTCCCTGCCAGCTGGGTCGGGGGTCCGGGCCCCACCGCCTCACCTTCGGCAGGGACACAGGCTCCAGGGCCTCTCGCCTCTCCCGGAGCTCAAACCTCCTGGGCTGGGCAGTGCCCTGCAAAGAAACAGCCGCGGGGATGCCCCTCCTCTGCTCGGGGGCAAATACCCTGCAGAGACTGTCTTTGGGGGCAAGAATTTCAAACAGCTCAAGGACTAAAAAGTAAACCCTCTAAGAAAAACTTCAGGAAAACACCCAAATCAGTGAACCAGTGGCCACAGGGAAAAACAAAGAACAGAGTAATCTGATGAATGCCCATGCAGCTGCCAGCCAGAATTAACGAGTGAACATCATTTCCTTAGGTGGCAGGTTTGCCTCATGACAGGGAAGATTTCTGAGCTCTGGGGCTACAGCACGCAGCTGTAGCTTCCTCTGGGGCCGAGGGAGGCGGCCAGGGCCTCCAGGGCACGGCCTCCCGTCAGCCCGGCCTCAGAAGAGGCAGCTCCATACCAGCTGCCACTCTGCGCGGGTCAGAGAGCACACCGGGCGCAGGCCCGTGGAGGCAAGCCCACCCCCGAGGAGCAGCAACTGCTCTGCCGGGGATGGGGGGGGACGTGGAAGGGGAAGGGCCGGGGGAGCACGACCCGGGAGCACGACCCCAGGGCCGCCCTCCCAGGTGAAGCGTGCCTGCTGCAGACCTAGGGCTGCCCAGCAGACGGCTCAGGCTTTGCAGGCCTCAGTGTGGGTCCCACCTGCTGCGGGCTCCTGGGCTCCTGGGGCTCCAGGGGGACCTCAGGGGTCATGGCCTCAGGGAGCTCTGCTGCCCCCTCTGCATCCTCATCCTCACCCCCGCCTCCGGGCATCGGGCCTTCCGGAGAGGTGCCTGGGCAGGGGAGCGAGAGGCCTGTCAGCCCAGAGGAGCCCGAAGACCAGGCAGCAGGTGGGGGCTGCCCCGTCTCAGCCCCATTCGGGGACCCAGAGAACAGGGCGAGGCGTTTGACACTCTCCTCGCCGTGCCGCTGTGGTGTTGGGCCCATTTTTTCTTAGCTAGTTTCCCTTCTAAATGCTGCCATATGTGTCTGCCCACAGAGGCGGCCTGGGGACGGGCAGACGGCAGACAGGACAGCAGGTACACGGGGCAAGGCCTGGCCGGGCGCACGGGCCAGCTCCAAGGCATCACCGCCCCCACACCCCCCCAGCACAGGTGGAGGGGCAGGCAGGCTGGGTCTGCTGAGCACAGAGCCACGTCCCCACCCCCACCTGCAGGTCCACCAGGGTGACCTCTTCTCACCTGGCTCCTGAGGTCTGCTGGGCACAGCAGCCGGACTCTTGTTCACGGAGATTTCCATTGGCTGCTCCTCAGCACCCCCAGCCTCTGGGAGAGACGGGGGTTGGACGGGTCAGCCCAGGCGCTCCTGCAGAACGCCCCTCCCAGGCCCTGAGGGGCCAGAGCTGGGGAGGGGAGCAGGGCCCTGGACTCAGCCACACGTAGGCCAAGACAGGGGACAGGGCCAAGCAGCCAGCTCCAGCAGGCCAGTCCACGCGGGGCAGGGGACAGGGTCCAGAGCCCAGGCCCACACCCAGGCCCTCACCCTTCCTCGGCGGCAGGGTCTCCCTGGGGGACAGGCCCTCCGGCTCCAGCACGAAGGCTCCTCCGGGGTGAGGGGTGCATGTGTTCATCCTGAAATCCTTGCGGCTGGCCAGGACCTCCCCCTGACAGCTGTGCAGGCAGAAACACGGCCGCTGCAGAGACCCCCCGGTGGTGCCCCGCCACCCCACACCAGGCCAGGCCCGAACCTGTACAGGGGGTTGTTGTTCTTCTCCGTCTCGTCCAGGGCGACCAGGGCCATGGGCAGGAGGGGGACGATGACAACCTCCTGCACAGGGGCCGAGAGAGAGTTGAGCCCTGGGTCCCATGGGCTCCGGGTGGGCAACACACATGCCACACCACCCAGCACACCCTCCCAGGCCCCCCCGGCCCCACCCCGGGCGGGGCACTCACGGTGGGGGCCTGCTCGTGCCTGAGGTCCACATTAGCTCGGGTGTCGGGCAGGTCGTCCAGCGACAGGAACTGGGGGGACACAGCGGGCTGAGCAGTGGCACCACCAGCACGCAGCAGGCAGCCGCCCTGCGCCCAGAAGACCTCACCTCGTCCTCCACCGGCTGGGCAGCCCTGGAGCTGGCATCCCTGCCGGCCCCGTCTTCCCGCACCAGCAGCTGCCTGGCCCGCCTGGGAGAGAACTGATGAGTGGGCGTGTGGAGACTGGGGGGGGGGGGGGGGCACGCAGGCTCCTCCTCCGGGCCCCGCCTCCAGGACTCACCTCTTGCCAGAGATGAAGTCCAGGGCCTGGTAGACCAGCGAGTAGAGGTACTCCACCTGGAGGCCGGGAGCAGGAGGTGAGGACGCAGGAAGGAGCCCACCCTCGGCGCCCCAGGGTCCTCCCTGGGACTTTCCGACCCGAACGTCCGAGCAGAGAAGCCCGCTGGCCCCTCCACAACCTCCAGCACAAGTCCTGCCCCTGCGGCCACCAAAGTGCTTCTCTGGTTGAACACGGTCTCTCCCAGCACCCAGGCCCTCCTCTGCCCCACACGCGACACAGCAGCAGGGGAGCGGGGGGCCCCTGGAGGCCGCACACCCGCCACACGCCTTGTGCAGCCCACGCACCAGCCTGCGTGCGGCCTGCACAGTCCCACCCTGCAACCCTCGCTGGCTCCTCCCCCTCCCTGGCTTCACCCCACCTCCAGGAGCCTCCGGCCCCCGGGGGCCCCACCAGCAGGGTGCGTACACGTGCGGCCTCTGGGCCATGTCCCCCAGGGGACAGCACGGGAGAGCACACACGGCCCGCTCTGCTCAGCCTGCCCTTCCTCTCACACACGGGGCACCAGGCACCGGGGTGAGCAAGAGACACGCTGGGGCCGTGCTGCGTCTCAGCCTGCCTGAATCAGGGGCCACTGCTGCTCTCCGTTTGTAAGAGGATGAACCCCGGGCACCTCGCCCTCCCAGAGCACGCCCCCTCCCTGCTGCTCTGCCCCCGCAGGCCTGCGCCTCCCAGACTGTTAGGGTCCCCAGGAGCCTTGCAGCCAGTGGGGCAGTGGGCAGCGGAGCTCGCCCGGCTCAGCCCCTGAATCCCCGGACCGTCTCCAAGCATCTGCCCGTCTGCCCGCCTGGCACTTCACCTCAGCTCTGTGCCCTCAGGGCCAGCTGCAGACAGTCTGATTCAGGACAAACACAGGGTACAGGAATTCGATTTAAGGGGATTATCTGGGACAAAGACCAATGAAACCTTTGACGGTCTGAACAGCCCGAGGTGCCCAGAGGCTCGCCCACCACTGCCCTGTGCCTGCTCAGCTGCAGTCCCGTCCCTGTCCCTTCTCTGTCGGCTCTGGGCCCGGCGCCAGGCCCCCCAGAGTCCCTGCGCCCAACTTCTCTGGACCAGGATTCACGTCTCCCTGCAGCCCCCACTTCCCCAGCTGCCCTTCCGCGGTGTGGCTCCGTGGTTTGCAATCCTGCTGTCGCTGAGGGTGTCTTAAGAAATCCCGAGGCCTGTGCTCCCTCTTGGGGGCACACGGGTGCCTGCCCCCCGCCCTGCGCGTCCCCTTTGCCCCCCCCTCCCCAGCTCCAGGGCCCTTCTTCTGCGTCTGTGATTGGTTTCCTGAGCCCGTTTCTTCTACAGTTCACTTCTCCTACCACTGTGACTCTCTGAATGAACTTTCTCTTAGTTAGAAAAAAAATACGGATGCCAACACCACCCCCCACCCCACCCCAGTTCCGATTTCATCACTCCGGGGAGGGGCCAGCCACTGGGAACCGTCTGGACTGCAGCCTGGGCTCAGAGCCCCGGCTTCGGTTGCGGCCCAGGCTCCCTCCTCCCCTTTCCAGCGCACTGTCTGAAGCCGGGTCCACGCTGACTCTGGGCCCTTTCTCGCGCCTCCGGGCTCCCCCGCGCCAGGGGTCTGGCCTCCTCTCCCAAGCCCCAGGGCCCTCCTAACTGCAGGCCTCCGCTGACACGCGGGGATATTTAGCATATGCGTCCAGTTCACTGGGCTGAACATTTTTGGTCCCGGAAACTCTCCCCTGCTCTAACTCCCTGCCGGGGGGACACTGTCTCTATTGCCTCTCTCTGGCTTCTCCTCTTGAGGGTGCCCCCCACCACTGGTTTCCCCTCAGTGTCCCTCCTTCCTGCTCTTCCTCTTGCTCTGCAACAGGCTCTCAGGCTGGGGACCAGGCACTGTGGGCTGGGTAATCCTTCGCAGCACGGGGCTCTCCTGCACGTTGGCGGATGCACAGAGGCAGGCACTGCGACTTTAAATATAAGCCACTTGTTCAGCGCTAAAAGGCGGCGAGGACGGGAGAAAGGAGACGGGAGGGGTTGACAAGGCAGGTCAGAGACAGGGTGAGCCTGCCACCTGCTCCAGCAGCACAGAGGACCTGGGCCCTGCTCGACACCGAACCCCCCAGACCAGGGTCAGGGGACACCCACCTTCTTGCTGTAGACACAGGCAGAGCCCTGGATCAGCAGCGCGGCCTCCACGAAGTTCATTGTGGTTTTGCCCTCGTCAAAGGAAATGCAGATCTGGTCCAGCTGCAAGACACGGCCGGCTCAGCAGGGAGCCGAGCGCGCAGGGATCTGCCCAGGGCCGCCCACCTGCCAGCCGCCTCCCCCAGCACCGCAGGCCAGTGCGGTCTCCGGTCTCCAGTCTCCGTGAGCAGCCCCCCAACGGGCGGGTCTGGCTCTGCCTGGGGTTCACCACTTGCCCGTTGTTCTGGGGGGGGTCTGTGTGCTGTCCCCCACCCCTGTAACCTCCGAGCCTGGTGTTTGGAAGAGGGAGACCCCAAGTGCACCAACCACAAATGGCCTGCGGTGTGCGCCAGCTCCCTGCCGCGGGTGCTCGGTGCAGCGCCCCTGCGAGTTGGACTCGGAGGGACCGGCAGGAAGGTCCCGCACCCCGAGAGGCGGGGGGCCTCAGGGGCAGGGAAGACAGAGACAAAATGTGGGGGTCTCCGCGCTCTGAGTGGAAAACTCAGGAAACACTGCTGAGTGAGTTCTCCCCCTTCCTGTGACCCCTGAACCCCAGCGCCCATCACCTCTTCAGTGCCAGCGGCCCCTGACCCAAGGCCCACGGCTCCCAAAGCCGTGGAGACCAGCGCCCTTCCCGAAGCAGCAGGGCGAGTCCGCAGCTGCAGTCCAGGTGTCTCTGAGACGCCCACGCATCCTGTCTGCTCCCCACCCTTCCCTCGGGACATTCCCTGTGCCCGGCCCTCAGCCAGCAGGGCCTGGGCGCCCTCTCGTGTCTGTCAAACTCTCTGCCCGGGGCCCCACGGGTGGAGCTCCTGCAGTCTCGCTCGGGCTCCCTGCCACTCCGTAGGCTGGTCTGGCCCAGCCTGAGCTCCCCTCCCTCCGTGCACAGTCAGCACTCGGGGTAATTCCAGCCGGCAGCTTGGCGCCTGATGCTGGTGCCCAATGAATGTTTGATGAACGGGCGATGATGACGCCAGAGCTAAGCCTGAAGACGGACCCGGTGCCTTTCGTGGTCCCCGTCCCTCGATGAAGGGACTGGCTTTTCGGGAGGAGCAACCACCGCACAAAGGCTGTTTGCTGGCAGGGCTCAGCTGTTTAGGAGAAGGAGTATCATGCAAACACGTCCGAAGGGTAGGGCGAGCTGAGCAAGCCATTAGGCCCCAGGGTGGCGCCCAGAAGGGGCAGTCTGGGTGGACTCCACCAGGGCGCGACCTCTACTGGTCTCTGAAGGACAGGGAGTCAGTGGGCCAGGGAGGGAGAGGAGACAGGAGCAGGAGAGCCAGAAAGTCCGAGCAAATGGACACAGGCCTGAGAGAAGGGAGCAGGCAGAGGGGGCAGCCAGGCCCCCCAGACCCTGGGCGGCAGGGGTGGCGGCCCTTCTCTTCAGTGACACTCTCGTCCCGGCTGGTCCCCTACTCCCAGGACCTCACATTCCACTCTCCTTCCGACGGCTCCCAAATGCATGCTCCCAGGCTGCACCTGCCATCGACGCCCAAACCTGTATGTCCAACCGCCTTCTTCAAGTACCAGTGGGATGGCTTACCCGAGGCTCACACCGAGTCAGGACCCCCTGAACCCTAGTGGTCCCCTACCCACCCCACGGCCCGGAAGTCGGGGTCCTAGCTCCCCCGCCGAAGCCCGTGCAGCCCTGCCCAGCTCCCTGCCCACGCTGACCTGTGCACAGAGACCACCGCTGCTCCAGCCCTCCACTTCCCTCCGGCCCACTCTCCACACAGCAGCCAGCGCTTGTCTCCACACCTAAGTGGGACTGCATCACGGTACTCCATCCTAATGGCTCTCGGCCACTCTTAGGAAGAAACCCAAAGTCCCAAGTGGAGCCTCCCACGCTGAGCAGCCCCCTCTCCACGGCCCATGTCCCTTGCAAGCTGCACGGCAGCCACCCGGCCCCCTCCTGGCCCTCACGGAACTGGTGCTGCCCCACCTCAGAACCCTGGACACACTCTCGGAGCCTGGGTCTTTCTTCAGCTCACTGCGACCGGACAGCTCCTTTCACCCCGGCCTGAGTGAGGTCCCCAGTCACACCCTCAGGGGACCCCCAACCTCCCTCCGAACCCCTCGTCAGTCTGTGGCTGCGCAAACACACCCACAGTGGGGAGGCGGTGGGCCCCACTCTGCCGCCCACTAGCTGGGACTCCGTGCGTGTCGCTCGCCCTCTCTGCAGAACTGATACCCGTGCCAGCAGGCCTCCTGGGAGGACTACGTGAGCCCACACGTACAGAGCACACGCAACAGGGCTGAGCAGGAGCCCGTGCGGAACGCATGATGTTTATCATAGCTCCAGGGTTTGCTGCCTTGGGATCCAGGCATCTCCCACAAGAGGGAAGCCAGGACCGCTGTCCGCTCGCCACTCTTCTCCAAAGGGTTAACAGGACTTTAGCAAACAGGAGGCACTCAGCAAGGAGTAAATCAACGGATGAGAGAATTTAGCAACAGAGTAATAGCTGCTTTTTGGAAAAGAACATTCTGGTAGCTGTGCGGACAAGAAAGGAGAAGACAGACAGCACCTGAGTTGTGGGGTGGGGTGGGCGGAGAAGGTCTGGGAGAGCAGACACAGGAGGCAGGAAGTAGATCCACCGGGCACCCAAGGGCCCTGCTCGGGGCCTGCACCCGCAACAGCCAGCCCGGCACCGCCCTCGGCACTGTCTCGGCAGAGTGTGTCCAGCCGGAGGCCTGTCGCCACATCGGGCGTTCGTCTAACAAACGTTCGTTCTGCACCTACTAAGTGCTGGACGTTGTGTTAAGCAAAAGGAAGAGAGCATAACTATGGTCCCTGCCCTTGAAGAATTTACATTCTGGGGTGAAAATAGACCCTAAATAACTCAACAGCTTGTGATAAACATTCTGAAGTACGTAACACACGGTGACAAAGAAAACTACTTTAGATAGAACAGTCAGCTCACACTGAAACAGAGACATAAAGGATAAGCAGCAATGACGTGCAGAAAAACAACCGGGTGAGGACTACACTCCAGCAGGGACGGAAAATACACTCTCAGCCAAGAAGGAGTTTGGGTCTTGCAGGCTGGCTGGCTCGAAATACCGGGTGAAGGGCCCCAGTGAAGGCTGAGACGGGAAGCAGGACCGGATTCAGAGCACAGAGCTTGGATTTCACTCTGAGAGCAATGGAAGCCTTGCCGGGGGGTCTAGGCAGGGCCGTGCTGCAGCCTGGTGTGACTCTGTAAGAGTCACACTTGCTGCCGGATGGAGCATGAATTGGATGGGGCCAAACAGTGACAGGGAGCCCAGGAGGAAGGTTTTAGGTGAACCTGAGTCAGATGGTGGCCGGGACCGTAAGCCAGGGAGAACACACAGATGTGAGTGACTTCACGGGTGGACAAGCTGTGGCATGTAGGGTTTCACCAGAACGGCTCTGAGCGTTCACCTCTGGTTGAATAGTGGTGCCATTTACCAAGGTCAGGAAAACTGGGATTTCCACAGAAAAATAAAGAGCTGCACGTTGCGTCTGTGAAATCTGAGATGCCTTGTGACATCTAAGTAAATGTCAAGTATGCAGCTGGCTACACAACATAGACTCAGAGGAAATATGCAGGATGGAGATGTAAGCCTGGGAGCTGGCCTCACACAGGTGACCTTTGCAATCGTGGAAACAGATGAGCTCACTGAAGGGACATGAGTAAGGAGATGGCCCGGGACCCACCCGAGGAGCTGCACACTGCGAGGTTGACAGGAAAGAAAAAGTAGGCAATGCAATCAGACGAAAATCAGAACCCAAAACCTGTTTTGAAGAGGAGGGAGTGGTGGGGCCTGGCAACGTCTCTCCGTGGGTTACAGTGTCATTCCCATATGCCAAGGCTGCAGGTTTGCTCCCCGGTCAGGGCGCATGCGGGAATCAACCAATGAATGCATGAATAAGTGGGACAAACCGCTGTCTCTTTCTCTCGCTCCCTCCCTAAAATCCATCAACGAAAAAGGAGGGAGTGGTCAACCCAACAAATGCTGCTGAACTGAATCAGAGGACACTAATTCTAGTGTCCCCCGGAGTTGATAGGATGGAGGGCATTACTGATCAAAACGAGAGCAGACCCGAGCTTAAAAATCAAAGCGAAGCGCGGAAACAGAGCAGGCAGCTCCTCACTATGTTGCGCACCTTACACTGATACTGCATGCCAGTTACAGTCAAACTTAAGTAAAAGAAAAAAACCCCCACATCGTCACCCAGCTCTCTCAAACACCCAAACGTGCACATAAGTTCTATCCCATTACATTAAAGAAAACGGCGGTCATCACCTACTAAATCGATTTCATGGTTCGCTAATGGGTGGCGCGCGACCTGCAATGACAGCTCCAGGCTAGGCGACCAAGGGATGGTGCGCGGAGGTAGTGACGGTGCCGGGAGCCGCAGGACGAGTGCGGCCAGAGCGCCCGATGTACAGCCCCGGAGGCGGCGGGAGGCCCAGCAGCCCAGGCCCGGCGCCCCGCCCGCCAGCCCCGCGCCACTGCCCCGGGCCGCCCTCACCTCCTCCAGATACTCGCCCAGCTGGGCCGCCACGTCCACCTCCCAGTTCTTGGTGAGGTCGCGGATGGGCTGCAGGAGGTGGGCGAAGCGCGCCTCCACGTCCTCCATGTCCGGGAGGGGCCGGGGCGGCCCGGGGACCGCGGAGCCGGTTTCGAGGGGGGCCAGTGTCCTCAGCCCGCCACTAGTTCTGGCGCCATTTTGCTGTTCCCGCCCAGGAAAGTACGCAGCGCGCGGCGCCGCGCGCACACCTATGACGTCCGCGGCGAAGTCGAACCCGGGCGCCGCGCGGCCGGCGCGCCGGGGGCGGGGCAGGCGTGGGGGCGGGGCAGGCGTGGGGGCGGGGCGAGGGCTGGTGGGGGCGGGCCCGGGTGGGCGGGGCGTGCCGTTGCGCCGGCGGGGCGTGGTCGGGCGGGCAAGCCGGCTCTCGTCCAGCGGGCCGCGTAGCGGACATGGCGGGCTCCCGGCTCCCGCGGCAGCTCTTCCTCCAGGGCGTGGCCGCCGTGTTCTTGTTCGCCTTCGCGTCCCTCTACACACAGATCCCGGGTGAGGGCGCCGAGCGCGGACCCCCCCAACCCGCGCCCGTGCCCTCTGATCTCCCCGGTGGCACTCCGCTGTCCTGGGGCGGGAGTGAGGTCCAGGCCTTGCCGCGTGGGGCGGGGGCTGCGGTTCGTGTCCCGCGGGCCGCAGAGTTTGGGGGTAGGAGGGCTTGCAGTGTTCCGTTCCCACAGGGCTCGGGCTCTGACCTGGCGAGGCACAGAGCCAGAGGCACGTGGGCCCATATCTGGCGGGGCAGGTAGCAGACTGGGCTGTGCCAAGCCGGAGATCCTGGCCTGGGGAGTCCGGGGTGGGGCGGAAGCTGACCCGGGGGCAGGGGCAGTCCTCAGGTGCTGACCTGTTGGGGTTCGAGACTGCCCGTCCTGACCTAGGCTGGGGGGGAAGGGCTGCAGGTCTTGACCTGAGGAGGCGGATGTGCAGGCCAGGATGGTGGGGGGAGTCGGGCCTCCCAGGGCAGGGTCCGGGACCTGGGCCTTATGTCCCCTTCCACAGGCCTGTATGGCACCGAGGGCATCCTGCCTGCACGGAGGACACTGCGGCCTCAGGGCAAGGGGCCCTGGCAGCAGCTGTGGGAGACCCCGACGCTGCTGTGGGAGGCACCTAGACTCGGGCTGGACACAGCACAGGGCTTGGAGCTGCTGAGCCTGCTGGGCGCCCTGCTGGCCCTGGGTGCCCTGCTGCTGCCCCAGCTTCGCCACCTCCTCGTCTACCTGCTGCTCTGGGCTGCCTACCTGTCTGTCTGCCAGGCAAGTGGGGGCTGCCTGCTGTCCCCCCACCACCACTGCAAACCTTGTCACCAGCTCACTTCAGCCCCGTCCACCCTCCACCCCACCCGTCTCTGCCTGGCCTGCCTCCCCGGACACACACCCCCTGCTCCCTGACAACCCCTCTCTCTGCAGGTGGGCCAGGTGTTCCTTTATTTCCAGTGGTGAGTGACTTTTGGGGGAGGGGCTTCAGGAGGCTGGGGGTGGGGCAGGATGTGTTTGCCTTTCCCTCGGGGGGACCCTCTGGGGGAGCCGCCTTGATGGGGGGGCCCTTTGTGCTCTTCCTTCTCCCCTTAGGGACTCCCTGCTGCTGGAGACTGGCTTCCTGGCTGTGCTGGTGGCCCCCCTGTGGCAACCCCCCCACCATAAGCAGCTCCCCCAGGGTGGGCTGGCCGGGGCCTTGCCCCATGAAGCCCTCCCCTTCTGGCTCGTGCGCTGGCTGCTGTTTCGCCTCATGTTCGCCTCGGGTGTGGTCAAGCTGACCAGCCGTTGCCCCGCGTGGTGGGGGCTCACTGGTGAGGGTCCCAGCCTGCCCACGGGGCAATCCTGGGGGCTCTGCCCAGCCCTGACCGCCCACCGTCACCTACAGCCCTCACCTACCACTACGAGACGCAGTGCCTGCCCACGCCTGCCGCCTGGTTCGCCCACCACCTGCCCGTCTGGCTGCACAAGCTCAGCGTGGTGGCCACCTTCCTCATCGAGATCGCCGTGCCCGCTCTGTTCTTCGCCCCCGTGCGCCGCCTGCGCCTGGCTGCCTTCTACTCCCAGGTGGGTGGGGCGTCGGCCATCCGGAGACAGGCAGGGTGTGGCCTCCTTCCACACAGCTCCGTGGTCCCACTGGGAACAGGTTAGCTGCTGCTGACAGTCAGAAGGCCTTGCAGGCAGGGGGCCTAGGTAGCTCAAGGTGTGCAGGTGTGCCTCGGGGGCAGGGCACAGCCCTGCTGGAGGGCATCAGGCTCCAGTAAGCAGGGCAGGGGGCGTGAGGACCTTGGTCTTTCTCAGGGTGGCGCGGAGGAGCCGTGGGGAGTATGAGTAGAAGGTAGAGGAGTGGGGACAGGATGAAGGCATAGACATGCTGAAGAAGGGGCAGGTGCCTGTAAGAAAGATCTACGCGGGGGGCGGGGGGGTGCGCCGCGGGCTGTGGGCCGTGGCCAGGATCTGAAGGATCAGGCGGGGGGTGCGGCCTGAGCTCTGAGCACAGATGCTCGCCCAGGTCCTGCTACAAGTCCTGATCATCGTCACCGGCAACTACAACTTCTTCAACCTGCTCACCCTGGTGCTCACCACTGCCCTTCTGGATGACCAGCACCTGGCTGCCAGGTCTGGCAACAGCCACCGCAGAAAGACACCTGCCTGTGAGTGTCCCCTGTCTGGACAGCCAGCCCTCCTCCCCCGAACGGCCAGCAGGGTGTCTGTCTCCTTCCCCCAGCAGCCCCCACTGGCCTCTCCCCTGGCTCCCCAGCCCCCTGGCTTCCCCCCTCCACCCCGTTCCCAGCTGACCATGACTCTCTCGCCCTGCAGCCCGGCCCAAGGCCCTGCTGGCCCTGCTGCTGGAACTGACCGTCTATGGGTTGCTGGCCTATGGCACCGTGCACTACTTTGGCCTGGAGGTCGACTGGGAGCACCACGCCATCCGCTCCAGAACCAGTGAGTGCCAGCTGGGTGCCAGGGTGCAGGGGCTGGGCTGGACCGCCCCCCCTCACACCCCTCCCTTGCACAGCCTTCACCTTCCACCAGTTCTCCCAGTGGCTGAAGACGGTGACCCTGCCCACCATGTGGCTGGGGGGTGCCTCCCTCGCCTGGGAACTGCTGGCCGCCCTCTGGAGGTACACGCGGGGCTGGGGTAGGGGTGCTGGGCTGGTGTGCAGAGCAGGGCTGACCGTGCTCGGCTCCCGCCCCTCAGGTGGACCCAGGTGCGAGGGTGGCTGCGGAAGCTCTGGGCTGCAGTCCAGCTGTCCATCTTTGGCTCCGCCACCGTGGCCATGTTCCTGGTCAGCCTGGTGGGTAGCGCTTCACAGAGGACAGGGAGAGGGGGTTGGGAAGGGGCCGGAAGAGCACACTGAGTCTCTGCCCCTTTGCCTCCAGGTGCCGTACTCCTATGTGGAGCCCTCCACCCACGGGCGCCTCTGGACAGAGGCCCACCGCCTGTTTGGCGCCGTGGAGCACCTGCAGCTGGCCAACTCCTATGGCCTCTTCCGACGGATGACCGGTCTGGGTGGGCGGCCTGAGGTGGTGCTGGAGGGCAGCTACGACGGGCACCACTGGACAGTAAGCGCTCCAGGAGCCCTGCTTGGGGCCCTTGGGGGGCTCCTCGGGTGGGGAACCCAGTGGAGTGGGGTTGGGGGAGAAGGGGGAAACCCGGGCCCAGCTGCCCTCGTGAGCCCAGATCGGCCCCGGTGCAGGAGATCGAGTTCATGTACAAGCCTGGGAACGTGAGCTGGCCGCCCCCGCTCGTGGCACCCCACCAGCCACGCCTTGACTGGCAGATGTGGTTTGCCGCCCTGGGCCCACACACGCACAGCCCGTGGTTCACCAGCCTGGTGCTCTGCCTGCTGCAGGGCAAGGAGCCAGGTGAGGCCCTCGGAGGGGCCGGGGCTTTTGGCTTGTGGGCTTGTGGGCGGTGCTGAGGGAGCCACCCGCTGACCCCCCTCCCCCGCAGTGATCCGCCTCATCCAGCACAACGTGGCCAGGTACCCCTTCCACAAGCAGCCGCCCACCTACGTGCGGGCCCAGCGTTACAAGTACTGGTTCTCACAGCCTGGGGAGCAGGGGTAAGGCTGGGGCGCCCTCGGGGCTGGGGGCCGGGACCTCGCTGGGCACCCCCTAAACCGCGGTGTCCTACTGCAGCCGGTGGTGGCGACGCCAGTGGGTGGAGGAATTCTTCCCACCTGTGTCCCTGGGGGACCCGACGCTGGACACGCTGCTCAGGCAGTTCGGCCTCCAGGTACAAAGGCGCTGGCCAGGCTGGGCGAGGTGGCAGGGCTGACCTCCACCCACAACTCGACCCCCCTGACTCGCCTCAACCCTGCCCCACAGGACAAGAGCCCGCCCCGGGCCCGCAGCTCTGGCAACCCCCTCGCCCGGGCCCTCCTCTGGGTGCGGGAGCAGCTCTCCCCGCTGGAGGCCCCTGCTCTGCTCTGGGGACTCATCCTCGCCGTGGGGGCCGTCAGGGTCGTGCAGGCCCTGCTGGGACCCCGTCCCTCCCGGTCCTCCCCTCCCCCCAGGGAGGAGAAGCACAGGCCGGCCCCCAAGAAGGACCCGGGGGCTGCCACCGAGCAGGCCGCTCCAGCCCCCAGCAACTGCAACAGCAGCTCCCAGACCACCCGGCGGAAAAAGTAGCCGCACTCTGTCGGCCGCGTGTGCAGAGAGGGTGGGGTCCCTGGCACACCTCCAGCCTTCTGGAGCAGCGTGCAGCCCGGCCACCGAGCCTGGGCCAGCTGTCCAGGCAGATGCGGGCTGGGGTGTCGCCCTCGGGGGCAGGCTCTGTCCACTCTGCTGCTTCCAGGGCCCACGTGTCCCCGGTGCCAACCACGTCCCTCCCCAGCGCACCTTCCGGCCTGGACAGCGGCCCCAGAGGCGGCTCTGTGACCAGCTCAAGGCCCTTCCCAGGATGTGGTCGTCAGGACTGTGGGTGTTCGGGTCTGCGGGGGCCCAGATCTGGTGCCATGACCCCGGCACCTGCTGGGGAAAGAAGAGACAGCCTTGGCACGCCGTCTCCACACGCGCCCGCCCCGTCACTCGGTCCGTGAGCCAATAAAGGCTTCTCTGTGCCTGACGTGTGGTTTCTTCCCGCCGGGGAGCCTGGGGACGGTGTTGTGTTGTCCGCCTGTCGCCGACCTGGCTTCCTGGGTGCCTCTGCTCTCCCGCCCTCGGTGTTCCCCTCTCTAAAGTGGGCACGAGGGCCC